ATATATAATAATTATCAAATAAAACGAAATATGGCATTATGGTAATTTTCAGCGCAACAGATTTTTTCCATGTTTTGATATCTTGTTATCGTCTGCTACAATTTTTTAAAAACCTATCAATGCAAGAAAACGAAAATCTGCAACAAAACCATGAGCGTCCAATATGCGCCTTTGATACAGAACTGCTTATTGACTAAATTCTTAAAGCCATGGATACTTCGGCTTCTGAGAAAGGCCACAAAACACACTCCGTGACTATTTAAAAATGGTAAGTGCCCGGTTCCAAGCGAAATGGGAGAAGACCGTAGGACTCTGTATTGACGTTATTCTTCCGCGTAGCTGTTGGAGAATTTTCATAATTTCTAAAATTTATTGATAAAAGTAATCGTTACACTATAGTTATGTTGTTTTTTTTTTATTTCTTTAGTCTATCACATGGTCGTATTTTGCCTGAGTTTGATCATGATCTAATTTCAAATATAGGATTATATTTTTTTTTAAAACCACCATTAGTCTTCCGCAAGTTATTGTAACTGCAGACCTGGATTTGTTTAAAATATTGAAAAGAAACAGTCTTAATTGAAATATAAACAACGAATCTTGCTTTTATCGATTTCATTGGGTAATGAACTGAGTTGCTCTTCAGACAAATTCAACTCTCGAGTAAAACTCAACATGAATTGCCTAGCAGTTCATTAAATTTGCTTGAAGAGCAACTCAATTCATCTCCCCATAAAATCGACAAAAACAGGATTCAATACTTCAGTAGATGAAGTAGAATATTATGTCTTTCTCTGCCACATTTTAATCCATTCGAATAAAGACACAAGTACCTGATCTTCTTTTTTTTTTTAGATTGTGACGGTTTTTGGGAACAATATTGATTTTTCTGTGTCGCCTCCTAGATTTCTAAAGACCCTTAGTATTACTGACGATTGTTCGTAGCTGTCTAATAGTTTACCTCATTATCTGGCTCTACAACATCTAATTCAAATTGCATCGCTATTCACTTATGTGTCTTTATTTTCAGTTTCCAATTCCTTGAGGTAACATCCAGTTGACATGGTTAATGGTTCTCACAAATCATTAATATAATTCCGTGCAAATATCGTTTCCCTGAAAATTAATTTAAAAATCTATATTTTTTGTTGTTGTTCTTTTAGAAGCAAACCAGAGTCTGTTATGAGAGTGACAACGTTGGATACCATGTGTATATCAATAGTATGTTTGTACTTAAAACAAGGCATTGTCAATAGGAACTTCGATCTCTGGCCTCAATCTTTATTTCTTACAAAACAGAATATACCAGTCCATCGTTCATATATTTCACCTGCGTGATGAACTTTCGTTACGTTGTAATGACACAAAATACTAAAGGACGTTTGTAATATGTTACTTTAGCCTGGAGGAACATTTCGTTTTCGTGAATATTTAAAACACGCATTTATTTCATGTTCATTACTGTTCAATAATTCTTTGTACATTTCAGCTATTACTTTGAAATTTTATCGTGTTTATCGTTTCAAATGATTTTTTTCTCATTCTCTGGTATATTTGTTTACTGGAAACGCTCTCTGAAAACGATTGACGTCTCAATTATTAACATAAAGCTTTAATGTACGTTATGTGAAGGAACGTGCAAATTATTGACGTAACGTAAGTCAATATGGCGCCAAAATAACGTCATATGATGGTCTTGTGATCTAAACTCCCGGAATACAATCCAGATTGACAGTGATTAAATGGGAGGCCATAATACAAAATGTAAATATAATGTAACATCCACCTTAATGAAAGGTCCTTTTTCCTCTTTAGATGTATTTCCCTGCCGCCTGACTTCCTCTGCTGTTGTTGTTATGCTGACACAGCCATGCTACATGTCTAGGATGATGGAGGTTTACATGTACCGGGTATCTTTATTTCACTGTCAAGCAAGTGAGGTCTTGAATGATCGAGGTCAATAAAATCTGTGATTCTTAGTAGCTTTAGCGGCCTCATTAACCTTGATTTTACGTTAGGTGGGTTATTGACAGTGTAGTAATTCGACTACATTAATATCGTATGGTTTGTGCTGTATTTCCAGTCACTCCATCTAGTACAGCGCCTGCAGGGATCGACTGATAATGCAACCCCGAACATTGCTGTTCTAATTGGCCAAACATTTAATTTTCAACGCACATGATCTCATAGAACATTATTGTTTTACAGTATACGTACATTCCTTGTTGTGTCGTGTTCAATATGTGTCTCATTATAAAGAGTGAGCATATCAGTCTTTAAAGGGCATACATCATTATCACGTGAAACCCATATTAGAACAATGTTACGTGATCCTCCAGTCTTACCATCATCTAGCTTAAACACCAATACGATTTTGTTATAATTTGTTTGCAGATGAGACACGGAATTAACATTTAATACTTATTATCATATGGCATATTTCTTCTTAACAATATTAGCTAAAGTCAAATGTCATTGTACACAACAAGTATAACGTCACAACGGTAATTTGCTACGTATGTGGTTAACAAGTTCCTTGTCGTTTAAAAAAAGACGTCATTATTAAATCTGAAAGAGAAATTTGAAGGTCGTGGGAACTCCTTTGAGTCTTATTTTGACAAGCTCTCGGATATGGTCAGCTTCGCGTAGAATAAAACAAGTCGGTGAAGAGAAGGGAGAGTATCCCTTGGTATGCCACTAGTCTGTAGGAAGTTATATCTTGCCACCAGACTCAATGAAGTTACTGTCAACCAAATTTCCATGATACATGATTTTAGATTAACTGTTGATGAAGTGTCACGTGAGGAATAAAAGTAGAACAGGGAGAGGAAGGATGGTGTTAAGTCGGCCATCTTGGTGTGTACCTATGAGGCTACAACGTACCGTGAAGACGCGCTCTGACATATTGACCTACGTGCATCGGTTTTGATAAAGGAGAAATAAGCTGAACTTCCCAGGCAATGATAATGAATTAAAAAGTAAAGTGATGACGCCAGACTTATAATAAATTTTGCTATTGCACCTGTCGTTATGCATAGCATCCAGCTTGACATTTGTGCCGGCGTTAAAACGCCTACTCTTCGACATTACACAGAAGGATCTGGGCAACGGTAGTCCCATCCGGTGGAATGGGTCGTTTATAAGTTACATGGCGCAAGTGCTGATATGCTTTAGTATTATTCCAAAACTCAACGTCAAAAATGTCCCTTTGCGAGCTGACCTTTTCAACAACGTTCTATACTCACAAGTAAACATGGAGAAAGTAAGTCTGGTTTTGAGAAGAACGTATCATGATGGAGTCCATCGATGACGTGGCCACAGAGATGCTACGTCAAAGTGTCACTTTATTGAAATATTACATAGGAGCGTGACAATTCTTGTTACCTTGGTAACCACATGAACGGGAAGGAAAGAGTGAAATGGTCCCAAGTGATTAGCAACACAATAGATAGTCCTCGTCTGCATCACGTGATGGTCTCAACACTATCATGTGATAAATAAAGAACCATCATGTAATTCGACAATTACAACAATATCACGTGATAGTCAACTTTTCACATCGAATCATTATATGATGGTCTATTATAATTATCATAAACAAATATCAAGTTACACGATATAACATCACAACAATATCACGTGACGTCATATCACCATAACATTACAATACTGACATGCATTTACAACATTGTCACGTGATTATACCAACATCACGTGAATACGTTCTATTGGTAAAGATTGATTGCTAAAAGCAATATTTCATCGTTAAATTCTCTTAAAATCTTATATAAGTTGTCACAACTTTTCTGCTTGATGCAAACAAACACTGGTAAATAACCCCGAATTCCTTATATATCCAAACACGATAACTTCATTCGTACTCTGATATTAGTATCAGGAAAAAATAAAAAATAAACAAAACTAATAGAATTAAAAACTAATCCTAATGATCATAGCAATACGAATCACCTGACGAGAAATTAAGGGGATTGATTTGTGATCATGGCTTGCTATAGTACAGCATGGAGCCAATCTAAGTAACCGTTTGTAAAGTGAGGATTGCCCTTTGCGTGTTGGGAATATTATAGACAAAGTGGTGGCACAGCTCGCTCCGCGTGTAGCACGTTTCGGCATGGCTTTGTTCAATGAATCAGTTTTGCCATTATGACGCGTCGAGCAATACCGTTTTAAATCCCGTGAGTAAAATGTCTGATAGTTTATTTTACCGTGTAACATATGAAAACCCCTACTGAAAGTGTCCTCTCTGTCATCCTGGATATCTGACACAAACGAGAGCGGTCATTGGTCGAGCAAAGCTGGACACTAAAATATATTGTTCACTCATGAAGGCATAAGAAACATTTCGCGTTTTAGTAATACAAAAATCTCCATTACATAAATATCCTCATCATACAGATAGATACTAGAGAATCACCTCCCTCCTTGTCGTATACAAGGCATATATTTATACGTAAAAAATACTTCTCATCGTAGATTTAAATTCATGGACAAAATAGTGGCAGATATATTCATTTTGTAAAAGAAAGTAAAAACTGGAAAAAAAGATCGAACATATATTAACAAATGTTGTGAATATTATAATTTTTCATGGCATACTCCTTGTGGTAATTGGTATTCCTGAAATGCTATTATTTATTTATGGAAACAACCTACTATCACAAGTTCTAACTAACAAACTAGATGTCAATTTCTCACAGAAAAGGGAAATGCAAGGCTGATAGTGTGAAGAGCTGACTTAACTAGCCCCACTTGGATTGAAAGGGAAAACGTCCTGTCTCAGCATCGCTCTATTCTATTGAGCAAGTCATGTTGACGTTGTGTCATCGAATAACGTTTACTGACATTGCTTCAGTAAGACCGAGATTCGATAAGAAAACACTGAGGTCCTAAATATGATAAAATCACTTACACGGAATTCTGTTTAAAGTAATTAACACCAAACATGAAATGTGTGATAAAATAGATGGACTGTGACTTACCTGTGATCCCCATGTTAAGAGTTGGCTATTAAAATCCTCAAAAAAAACTTTTAACTTAAAAGTTGCACTGCATGGTGACGTCAGAAGAGTATAGCGGCTATGATGGGCGTGGTTTATGTCCACCCGGCCAGGTTGCACACTGTGGCGACACTGCTGACACACGCAATGCAGGTTGGTGTCCTCTGTCACAGAAAATCTCTACGTTAACCTGTTGGTTCTGGTAGTGTATTGATTGTGGTGATTTAGCAGGGTGTGCTCCGCTAGCTTTGCCTTAGTGAGAATCTCGTCGTGTCCACCGGCCCCGGGATATCAATAGACTACAATTGTGATCAGGTGCTACCAATACAGGAGATTTAGGAAACTGTTCTATACAGGCATATTTGTAAGCATCAGAAGTGAGTGGGAAATGTTTTAAAATGTTACTTGATAATATTTTGATTCAATGCCAATATTGCAGTTTTGATTAAATTTTCCGTAGTTTGGACTCATATCCACTATACGCACACGCCGTCACACCTATAGAGCTGTTCTAGGAAATAGGGAGAGCACGTTGTCACGTGATAGCCTCTGTTGGGGGTGGAGACGGCGCCAGTCATGTGTGCCCACGCCTTGCTGGTGTCAACAGAACCTTATCATCCTATTGCAGGCTACCAGCGCCTGGGTCTGACAATGGCCAAGCTGTAATGGCGCTCGATAGCCGTATGGCGGTTACAGTGTAATGTAATCTCGGTTGTCGATCAAGGTATATCTACTCCTACAAGAATCTACTAGCGTTTGATTGAGTAGTTTATTATATTTTCAAGGAATTCTCGGAATTATAAAAATGCAACCTGAAGTGATGATATTAGACGTGACGGAGAGTCATGCTGTACGATAACATGTAACATTAGAGTGTTGGATGACATTATCTAGGACATTGGGATAGCTTTTAATGCCCACAATCCCCGTCTTGTTCCAACACATGGGGGATTCCCCCCTCACACGCTTGCACACATTAGATGGATGGATATACTTGTTTGTCACTGTCTATACGTGGTACACCCACCCATCACATATCAGCTACATGACTATATTACTGGGTCACCAGAGACATACGCGCTACATTTGTATACATCATTAACGGCGAACACAATATCCTTAATCAAAATATATCAGCTTTGAAAATGTACGACCTATCAGCTTTGAAAATGTATGACCTATCAGCTTTGAAAATGTATGACCTAATACGGTAAAAACATGATTACAGCAAGCGCAAAATTAGATCGGTACAGCTGTTTGATATCATTTTCAATAGGCACCTCCACATTGTTCTCGACTATGCAGCTCGCTACCATGGAGTTCCCAACTGCTCTGTTATCTACCAATGCTAAACCGTACTGTTCCCTATCATGTAGGACCCTAATATATTGTTCCTAAACCAACCACACTGTTCCCTACCAAGCTGTTCTCTGTCATAGTGTTTTTAAATGCACTGTTCCCTACCAAGCTGTCTTCTGTCATAGTGTTCTCAAGCGCACTGTTCCCTACCAAGCTGTCTCTACCATAGTGTATTCAAACGTACCGTTCCTTACCACGCTGTCCTCTGTCATACTGTTTTCAAACGTACCGTTCCTTACCATGCTGTCCTCTGTCATACTGTTTTCAAACGTACCGTTCCTTACCACGCTGTCCACTGTCATACTGTTTTCAAACGTACCGTTCCTTACCACGCTGTGCTCTGTCATACTGTTTTAAAACGTACCGTTCCCTACCACGCTGTTCTCTGTCATACTGTTTTCAAACGTACCGTTCCTTACCACGCTGTCCTCTGTCATACCGTTTTTAAACGTACCGTTCCTTACCAAACTGTCCTCTTTCATAGTGTTTACAAACGTACCGTTCCCTACCAAGCTGTCTTCTGTCATAGTTTTTTTTTCAAACGTACTGTTCCCTACCAAGCTATCTTTTGTCACAGTGTTTTCGAACGTACTGTCCTCTACCATACTGTTCTCAATCGTACTGTTCCTTACCAAGCTGTTCTCTATTATATTGTTCTCAAACACACTATTTCCTACTATGCTGTTCCCTAAAAACTATTTCCTACCATATCGTTCCCAACCATGTCCCTTTCCATGCAGTACACAACCCTCAGTTCCCTACAATATCGTTACTTACGGTATTGTTCCGTGCCACTGTGTTCCTCACCATGCAGCTTTTATGAATTATAAGATAAGTATTAATTCCGTGGAAAACATGCCAGAGAATGGGTGAAACGGCAAAGTGCCGAGTTGGATTCACTTTCTGAGTTAGTTAAACCCATTCAGTCCATCATTCTTAAAAGAATTTGCAACTTGAAATCTAAGAAAAAAAACAGAGGTCAGCGTTCCTCGACCATGATGTTAAATCCATATGTCAAGATTTACACGACAGGTATGTTATTGTACCTGCAGATAATGCGTCTAATAAATTGTCTACAAACAATGTTACATTTCTTGTATAAAAAAAGAACTAGGCTTGCTTGATGTCGAACGAAACCCAATATATACATAATGTCATTTTCCAATGGAGAAATACTGGCTAATGATGCGCCGGTCTTACAGCCATTACGATTGCCTATTAATGGTAAATGTACGGACCTTCCTCGTTTATACTGGGTTTCTAAACTTCACAAGAGTCCATTTTATTGCTGGCTCATCTAGCTGTTCAACCAAACTATTGTCAAACTACAGAAAAACATTCTAAATACTATCAAATCTGGGTTACAGTTTTATTGTGATAATGTTTACTCAAGAAATGGAATAAATAGCTGTGGATTCTAAAGAAAAAAGTTATCGACGAACCTTCAACACCCTCTTCTACATCCTCAATATTCCAGGAGTTACGATCACTTTCGATCTATGCACCCCTGGTATATGTCATGGCGGAAATGAAGGCACAAGCGAAGTAATTTGATTGGTTCCAGGAGAAAAAAACAGACCATTCATAGGCTTACGCTCTTTTTGAAGATTACAAAGGAGCGACACCCAGCTTCAAAGCCATTACCATTTACCGTTATGCGATTTGAGATTCGTTTGATGTACATCAAAGGTAAACACTAGTCTTCCCGTCTTGTCCAGAAGGTGTCGCACACGGAGTTTTCAATTTTGCCATGACATGTTCCATGGGTGCAGAGAACGAAAGTGATTGTAACCTTTTTAAAAACATTACATCCATTAGTACATTTGATTTTTCTATTCTATACATCACCCTACTCCATTCTAAACTGAAACAACGCCTTTTTTTGGGAAAGTTTTACGGTCGTCATGATGATTAAGATATATCCCGTTTCTTTGTGCTATACGAAACTACACGTGTTTGATGCTCGTTAGTTTGCCTGTTGGTTCCTATACATGTTGTATACATCAGTTACTTGGTTATACCGACATTGACATGCCCGATGTCATCAATGAAATAGAAGACGCTTAGTTTTGTGGAACACCTGGTCTCATTCTCCTTAATAATTGAATAATTATCATTACAATACTGTTATTATAATAACTTTACTGTTCACTACATTTAAAACATTGTTCACTCTTATTACTATACTGTTCACTCTCATTACCATACTGTTCACTATAATTTCTATATTGTTCATTACCAATATTATCCTGTTCAATACTATTACAATATATTGTTAACTATCATTACAACACTATTCACTATCATTACAGCACTGTTCACTATCATTACAACACTGTTCACTATCATTACAACACTGTTCACTATCATTACTGTTCACTATCATTAAAACACTGGTCACTATCATTAAAACACTAGTCACTATCATTACAACACTGGTCACTATCATTACATCACTGGTCACTATCATTACAACACTGTTCACTATCATAAAAACACTGTTCACTATCATTACAATACTGTTCACTATCATTACAATACTGTTCACTATAATTACAACACTGTTCACTATCATTAAAACATTGTTCAATATCATTAAAACACTGTTCACTATCATTAAAACACTGTTCACTATCATTACTGTTCACTATTATTACAACACTGTTCACTATCATTACAACACTGTTCACTATCATTACAACACTGTTCACTATCATTACAACACTGTTCACTATCATTAAAACACTGTTCACTATCATTACAACACTGTTCACTATCATTACAACACTGTTCACTATCATTAAAACACTGTTCACTATCATTACAACACTGTTCACTATCAATACTGTTCACTATCATTACAACACTGTTCACTATCATTACTGTTCACTATCATTAAAACACTGTTCACTATCATTACAGCACTGTTCATTATCATTAAAACACTGTTCACTATCATTACAACACTGTTCACTATTACAACACTGTTCACTATCATTACAACACTGTTCACTATCATTACAACACTGGTCACTATCATTAAAACACTTACAACACTATCATTACAAACACTGTTCACTATCATTAAAACACTGTTCACTATCATTAAAACAACTGTTCACTATCATTAAAACACTGGTCACTATCATTAAAACACTGTTCACTATCATTAAAACAACTGTTCACTATCATTACAAGACTGGTCACTATCATTAAAACACTGTTCACTATCATTACAACACTGTTCACTATCATTACAACACTGTTCACTATCATTACAACACTGTTCACTATCAATACTGTTCACTATCATTACAACACTGTTCACTATCATTACTGTTCACTATCATTAAAACACTGTTCACTATCATTACAACACTGTTCACTATCATTACAACACTGTTCACTATCATTACAACACTGTTCACTATCATTACAACACTATTCACTATTACAACACTGTTCACTATCATTACAACACTGTTCACTATCATTACAACACTGGTCACTATCATTACTGTTCACTATCATTACAACACTGTTCACTATCATTAAAACACTGTTCACTATCATTACAACACTGTTCACTATCATTACAACACTGTTCACTATCATTAAAACAACTGTTCACTATCA